CGAGCCCGCCTCGTTGGTGGCCTGGCACTCGTAGTCGCCGCCGTCGGCCAGGGACACCACGGGCAGGAACAGGGCGCCTCCGGCCAGCACCTCCGCGCCCGTGCGGCCACTCAGGGGCTCAGCCTGCGGGCCCCTCCGCCACACCACCTGCGGCTCGGGGGTCCCTGGGGGGGCCGTGTGGTCAGCACCCTGCCCCACCAGCGCCACCTGCACCGCCTCCTCCCAGACACTGCCCGTGCGAGTGGCCATTAACGGCGGCGCCCTCCCGCCCCACCCTTGGGGTGGGGGAGGGGACCTTCTCCTGGCCCTGGCCATTTGGGTCTCTGATGGAGCTGCGTCCGTACACAACCACCAGTGCAGGCAGACGGCCCATGGGCAGCCAGGGAGCAGCAGCATACATCCCTGCTGGCCTCTACCTCATCACTTTGCCAGCTCGTGGGGGTGGGGCATATGTGCAGGCGTGCACACATACACACCAGCTTGAATTCAGGGCCTGGGCACGGTCCCTGAGCTTTTTTGTTCATGGCCAGTGCTCTACCACTTGAGCCACAGCTCCACCGCTAGCTTTTTGCTGGTTCGTTGGAATCAAAGTCTCACAAACATTCCTGTCCCTTCTGACTTAGCACTGTGACCCTCAGGCCTCGGCCTCCCGTGGCTGATTTTGCCAGCTTTAATGCCAGCTGCCCACCACCTCTGTGGGCAGCAAAAGGGGCTGTGGAGGGAGGGGTGAGCACAGGTGTGGCAGGGCATGGACACAAGGGAGGGGTGGAGTGGGTGTGGCTAGTACATGGCACATGGGCATGGAGTGGGGGTGGTCTGGGCACGGGTATGGGCTGGAGCAGGCGTGGCCTGGACATAGCTGGTTTATAGGCATGGGCGTGGTCTGGGGTAGGCATGGCCTGGGCATAGCTGGTTTATGGGCATGGGCGTGGTCTGAGCCGGAGTGTGGCTGGGGCACACACAGAGCCCTGTGTCAGAGATCCGAGGCATCTCAAGTGCCTTCTCTGAGGCTCCCTGCACCCCATGCTGACCTCCACCTGCATAGTCAGGGCTCCCTGCCAGGCATGCAGAGGCCCTGTGTGCGCACTCACTGCTTTGTGTGTCCTGGGTAAGGCCACGTAATCTATCCACACAGGCTCCCCTGGAATCCTGCCCTGGACTCTGGGACACACACCCTCTGGGACATACACATGTGCACAACTGTCCCTCCAAACCCCTTCAGCTCTTCCCAGAGACCCCTCCCTTGTCCTTCCCAGCACCCTTGGTCCTCTAGATCTCAGTCTCCTGAGTAGCTAGGATTTACAGACATGAGCCACCAGCCTAAGACAGAGATCAAGAGGCCAGCGTGTAGGGGCTGTTTCCATAACCCAACACTAGGTGGCGCCGTGGTCCAGAAGAGCCAGCACCCAGGTGGCTCATCCAGAACCATCCAGAAGCTGTCCCAGCCTGGCTGGGTGCAGCGGCCGCTCCCTCAGTCCTGGCCCAGGGATCCCCTGGCACCCCGAGGCTCAGGAAGGACCTGCTGGGATCACAGGCTGCCGAACTGGTTCCTGCCTGCTTCTGTTACCTGTCCATGTTCCTCAGACCCCAGACTGACAGCCTGCCTCACAATCAAAGGCAGCCACTCCGGGGAGCACGGGCCACAGGGGCGCCACGGTGCTGCCGAACCTCCCAGGCCTCACGGTGGCCCCCCAAGGGGCCCCATGCAGATGGGGAAACTGAGGCAGAAAGGAACGTAAGCTGCCTCAAGAAGCTACAGAGCCAAGACTTCCACCACCGCCCCTCTTTCTCTCTCTGAGCCAGGACAGTCTGTTACAGAGGAGCAACGGTGACACCCCTCCTGCAGGGAGGGGCGATGGGGTGAAGCACCCGGCACAGGCTGAGAACTCCCGGCTGCTGCTTCCCCAGTGTGGTCCCAGGTGCTGGGATCTAGCTCTGCCCACCTGTTGAGAGCTAGCCCCACCTCCTGCTGGAAGCTAGCCCCACCCCCTACTGGGAGCTAGCCCCGCCCACCTGCTGGGAGCTAGCCCCGCCCCCTGCTGGGAGCTAGCCCTGCCCCCTACTGAGAGCTAGCCCCGCCCCCTGCTGGGACCTAGCCCCACCCACCTGCTGGGAGCTAGCCCCACCCCCTACTGGGAGCTAGCCCCACCCACCTGCTGGGAGCTGGGAGCTAGCCCCGCCCCCTGCTGGGACCTAGCCCCACCCACCTGCTGGGAGCTAGCTCCACCCACCTGCTGGGAGCTTGCCCCACCCCTACTGGGAGCTAGCCCCGCCCCTGCTGGGAGCTAGCCCCGCCCACCCTGGCACCCACCTTGGGCAGGGCACGGCAGGGTGGCGTTCTCCCCAGACACCCGCTCCAGCAGCACACTGGTCTCCTCGGCACCCCAGTGCGGAGGTTCTGGGGGGAAATGACAAGGCCGCGTTCATGCCCAACCCAGAGCGGCAGGGGAGGAGACGCCACGTTCAGCCAGCGCATGGAGCGGGCTCACCTGGTGCTGGTGCACCCCAGGGCAGCAGCTCCCCTTCCCCACCCCCCCTGCCCAGGGCCCAGCCCAGGTGCAGGCTGGGAGTGGGGTGGGACCTGAGCCCTCAAAGGCGTGGGGAGGAAAGGGTCCTCTCCTGTGTGTGTATGTGCGTGTGTGCATGTGTGCGTGTGTGCATGTGTGTATGTGCGTGCATGCGTGTATGTGTGTGCGCATGTGTGCACACATGTGTGTGCATGTGTGTGTGTATGTGTGTGTACATGTGTGTGCACATGTGTGTGTGCGTGCATGTGTGTGCGTGCATGTATATGTGTGTGTGCGTGTGTGCATGTGTGTGTGTGTGTGTGCGTGTGCACAGCAGTCCTGGGGCTTGAACTCAGGGCCTGGCGCTGTCCCTGAGCTTTTCTGATCAAGGCTAATGCTCTGTCACTTGAGCCACAGTTCCACTTTCAGCTTTTTGCTGGTAAATGAGAGTAAATTAAGAGTCTCATGGACTTTCCTGCCCAGGCTGGCTTCAGACCACGATCCTCAGATCTCAGCCTCCTGAGCAGCTGGGATGACAGGCGTGAGCCACTGACACCTGGCATTGCTTTGCATTTTGAATACAGAAGATGCTAGCACCATTGATCGAGATTGTTCTGTGTCAGGCACCTCATCTGCATTCTAGATGACGCCACGTATGGACTGGACTGCTTTGCGGGTGAGAAAATCGGCCTGTGCTGTCCAGTTGGTCAGTGTGAGATGGGCCCGCCTGCTGCCCGTGGACATTCAGTGTGGCACGTGCTCAGGCGCCCGGGCAGGAGCCGTCAGCACCCGTCAGAGCCCAGGAGCTGGCAGAGGCTGCTGGGCCCCAGCTGCAGGGCAGGGCGGTCCCGGATGGGACAGAGGGGACAGGCGGGCCTGCGCGTGTGCGGTTGGCCTGCGTGACCTCAGGGAGCTCACCTAGCACCCGCAGCGCCAGCTCCCACGTGTCCGTCCCCGCACTGCTGGAGGCCTCACACACGTAGCTCCCGGCGTCAGAGAGGCCCACGGCCATGAAGTGGACGGAGCCCGGGGTCCCTGAGCCCCCCACGGCCACCCCATCCTTGGACCAGCGGAGCTGGGGCTCCGGGTGGCCCTCGGCTGCACAGTTCAAATCCAGGGCTTCTCCAACCAGCACCGTCAGCACCCGAGGGCCCGGCTGCACCTGGGGGGGCACTGGAGGGCCCCGGGGAGAGGGGTCAAGGTGGGGGACCCCCACGAGGGGAACAGAACCCCAATGATTCCACGCCCCCCCAGCCCCTGCTCTAGCCAGCGCACCCCACACCGTGGGAAATACCATCTGGTTGATGCCCAGCTTTGGGCATGCATGGGGAAACCGAGGCATGGGCCTGACTCACGATGGCTCAGCATGGTCTGGAGCAGCGCAGAGGTGGCTCTCATGGTGGCAGGACTTGGGCCCCCAGCACCCCCTGGGGGCAGTCCCGGGAAACCCCCCCTGCCTTGCCTGGGGGGTACATCTGTATTCCCCAGACATCCAGTCCCCAGTCCCACCCGGGGGGGGCGCCCTCCCTCTGGGCAGCTCTGCACGTAGGAAGAAGCTCAGGTAGAAGAGCCGGGCGCTGGGGCTCACACTGTCATCCTAGCCACTCGGGAGGCTGAGATCCGAGGATCATGGTTCAAAGCCAGCCCGGGGAGGGAAGTCCCCGGGAGACTCATGGCCGAAGAGCCACCAGAAAACTGGAAGTGGCTTGTGGTTCACATGGTTGAGCACCAGTGAAGAAGCTAAGGGGCAGCGCCCAGGCCCTGGTTTAAGCCAGGGGGTGAGGGGAGGGGGGCGGGGCAGGCCGGGCAGCCCCACCCCTCGGCCCCTGCTGCTCCCTGCTGTCCAAGGACCTGGCCCCTGTCCTGACCAAGGGAGGGGAGGTGGGAGGGGAGCGGTGGGAGGGTCTTGGGGTGGGGGGAGCGCCGGGCCGCCCTACCTTGCACCCCAAGGACATAGTGCAGGGCGGCGGCGCCCGCGGGGTTGCTGGCCATGCACTCGTAGTGGCCGCCGTCCTCGGCCTGCGCGGGGGCCAGGCGCAGGGAGCCGGAGGGCAGGAGGCGGTGCCTGCCGAGCGAGGGGTGTGGTGAGACGCCCCCGTCCTCCCGCACCCTGACAAAGTCCCCGGGCCCCAGGGGCCCCGGCACGCGTGCGCCCTCACCTCACCTGTGCGGGCTGTAAGGAGCTGGGGGGGACCCCAGAGCCTCCCCCCAGCCCAAGTCTGCGCCTCTCAAGGTGTCATGGAGCCCCTGTGGTGGCCAGGCAGCCCCCACTGTCGGTGGGCCAGTGCCAGCCTGTGCCTCAGTCTCCCCTGCGGACGGCAGTGGGTGAGGACGCCAGGTGGGCCTCACGGCCAGGCCTGCCCTGCACTGCCACCAGCCGCTACGAGAAGGTGGGCACGTCCCTCAGCCTCCAGAGCCCCGCCCCAGCCCAGCGCACTCAAGGCCACGGACAGCGCAGCCAACCGCTCCACACAAGCCGGGCGCGGTGGCTCCCGCCTGTCATCCTAGCTACTCAGGAGGCTGAGATCTGAGGATCACGGTTCAAAGCC